GGGGGGGGCGCGGGATGTTGCTACGACGACTCTGGGGGGTATGGGGGGAGGTGGTTCCTGCTGCTGTGCTCAGCTCATTCGGCAGCTCATCCACTCATCCAGCGGCTCCCACAGCAGCAAGAGCCACTTCCCACACCCTGCCCCACCCCAACTGGGCAGCACCTACTCCAGCCCAGCTGCACTCCCTGTCTCACTGCAGGGGCCTTGATCTGCTCCTCCATGTCCCTTCCCTCCCCCCTTCCCTTCCACCACAACAGACTTACCAGCTGCATGCAGCTGTATTAAAAATCGGATCAGTATCGGCCAATATGCCTCAAAAATTGGCTATCAGTATCAGCCCCAAAAATCTGTATCGGTGCACCCCTAGTAATAAACCCATTAATTTCCTGTAATTTCTAATTTTAGATGTAATTTGTTAAATGGGTAGGATTGCATTAATGTCCGTTAATGATTCCATGCAGTCAAACACATATGTATTGGTTTTGTAACTGCTACAAATCTTGTCTCTAGAGCTTTTATGTAAGACTGCATGGTGTATCATTCTTTACTCTGTTATTAGATAGTATTTATTAGTATTTCATAATACATATATTTTAATACAGTTTAATACATTAATCTTCAATATACTAACTTTACTTATTCTTAGACTGGTCAGAACATTGTGCAACAACTTACCAGCAAGATGGAGCTTGGACTTACTTCACACAGATAGTATCTTGTTCTCCGTGGGTTTTGTACATTTTTGCACTAGTGTGTTCTTATACTTCATGGGCTTCATTGTTACTAATCATTCAGCTTTATCAGGTACCTTTTGTTTTGTTTTATGTGCTTTTTTGAGGGTTTTCAAATCTGTTGTTTTTTTTCCTGGAAGACTTTCCAAGAACTTCCTTGGCCTATCAGTACCAAAGATGTGCAACTTAAATCCCAGGGCAGTACCTTTGGTTTCATTGTATTTTTGCAGCTGCCCTTCATATATGCAAGTTAGAAGGGATTCTCCAAATCAAACTGTTTATTGCTGAATACAGCTGTAAATAGTACCAATTTGGGGGGGGGCACATTTGTTATGGGAAAATATTAAGAAATAAAGGCTTTATAGACAGAAAGTACACAAGTGAGATAACTGGTGTCATTGTCTAAAAGTATTTATGTGATTGATTATTCTGCCCAGGGTGTAATAAATGTTGAACTGAAAACTGTGCTACAGCAGAGCAGTGCATCATTAATTCACATTGTCTCATTATAAAAATAAAAAATGTATGACTGTGGTTTTACCCTGATAAGTATCACATTTTAAACTGCATTTTTTCCAAGATAACTTAGCTACACATGCAGAATTGTTTCAAGATGGTACTTGTCATCTAAAGTAAACATTTATTCACCAATTTCAAGAGAATTAGGGTCATTTAGTTGGGTATAAAAGCAATTCATTGGGCTAATGCATTTTTTATAGCTTTTGGTTTTGTCAGAAGTCCCACTGATTTTTCTTTGCTTGTTTCAAAATAGATTAATGTGGTTTCAATGTTTTTGAACATGGTAAAAATCAGAGTAACGGCTAGAACATTTGCAGTCAACTCCGTTTTTTCACAGGTGATACGTTGTTCACATGTTGCCTACTGACTTTTACCACTATTCACTGAAATTGCCCAGCCTGACATAATGTTGTGTGTAACTTACCATGTAAGATTATAGAACAGAAAAAATAGTAAACAAGTATAGGCAATAATGCATTACATTTCCCATTATGTGATTTGACATAGGAGGTGGCAAATGCTGTTGGGGAGATTTAAAAGTTAAGGCTGAAACTTTGTCCTCTGCACTTTGGCCAGTGTATTTTAACACATTGTCAGTATACCAGGGGATGATGGCTTCAGTATTTGTAATGATATTTTCCTTCTCACTGGGTGCATCTGCATGTGCCCCTATGGCACTATTGTTACTGCACCATCATAAGGTACTTCCTTTTGGAAGAACTAAATGACAGCTCAGTAACAGCCCTTACTGTGCTGTCTGCATGGTGCAGTTGTTTTTAGCTGCTACGTTGCCATAGCAACATATTATACCAAGGAAGCACATCCCTACAGTGACGTAGCTGTGCCGTCATGGTTTTTGCCTGCCAATACTACGTTACCTTAGCATCACATGTAAATGTGCCCACTGTATTTAGCGAAAGAATCCATGATCTTGACCTGTGTGTTGACCTTTATATCTGCAAATGGCTGGGTATAGAGAACAAGGATGATTTCTTAGTGTTGGCATTAATAGCACCAACTCCTTGGTCCCTCTCAGAGTGTTTATGGCATACTTATTTTGTAAGCAAGTCTTACAGTATAGTTTTGTGACTTGATAAATATGAAAAATCCAATCTAAAATTAGTATCTTTTAAGATCTCTAGTATTTTGACTGCAATTTCATCATTCAATATTATATTTTTCTTCCCTTTCCTAAGATTGTATGTCTGGGCTTGACCTCATATGAGCGAACAAACCTCATAATACAGAGCAAGTCTTCTAAACAGCCTTTTTCACTCAGGAGAACTCCATACAAGTAAGTATTTTTGGTAGGAAGGTATTTTAAAGAAATGGGATGAATGTCTTTAATCTGCGTGCCCATGGGGAAAAGATGATTTTCTAGGTGTTTGCTAAACATGCCTTTTACATGACTTAGACAACTAGGATGGAATTTGACCAGCTGACAGACTTTCCTTCAGGGATTTTTGCCCACATGTAAAGGTTAAAGCAGCACCATGGATGTTCTGACTATCACCAGGACTAGGCAAACATATTGGAAATCAGGAAAAGAGATTGAACTCTAGGGTATGGTATATGATAAAAATATACTTACTCTCTTTTTTTTGTGGAATGTTTGTAGCCCATATTACACTTAAACATAGAAGAGGGTTCTTCTATTCAACACTAATATATTTAATTCGTGAATAGTGACATAATCACAGCTAGCATAAGAAATGAGGTATTCAAGATTTTTATTCTAACAGAAATGCTTATGGCCAAAATCTCTGTTCTGTTAAGTAATTGATATATATACACACACTGAATAGATAAGAGGGAAATATTTTTATTTTTCTGGGTCATTGTGCTTAAAATGCTTTTTCTTTAGTGCATTTAACTTATTTACTTTGTCTTCCTTTTCATTATTATTAATTGGTATGTCTCTCTCATTTCCAGTCAAGGATGTTTCCAGAATATTGCCGACCTTTTTCAGTGCAGGTGCTTTGGCATATTCAAGCCCAGTGCAATTGACTGGACTAACCAATATACTCTGAGTCATCCAGCAAAGGGTAAAAACATCCATTCTGTCTGAAGAAAAGCAGCATGAAATTCTTGAGCTAAGCTGAAAGCTAAATAAAGCTGGAAATTCTGTGTTTTGTTTACAAGGTCTTCTCAAATTTTCTTGCCTTAATTTTTTATAATGTTTCTACTGCTTACATAGTAAAAGTTTTATGTGCATAAACTACAGCAAAATAGCTATGAAATAATTGCTGTGATTTTCAGATGAAACAATTTTAAATTTCCTGCAACTGAGATGGCATTAAATACGTATTTTACCAAAATAGGTTTTTATACAGCAACCCAAAAATCTTATGTGATTTTTGACCTTTTGCTTCTTTATGCAGACTGCTTCCATAAAAGATGCTTTTTTACAATTAAGGGAAATAAAACATTTTAATATTATTGAATTGGCTATTACAAAATTTTAAAAGCACTGAAATCCTTTTAGAATTTTTGATAGCTTGTCTTTATATTGTGTAAAGCAAACAGTAAATCTAAACACTGTTTTTTGTACAGATTTAACATTTAATAAATTAGAGCATTTGTGCTTTCAAGTGTATTTTCTGATTTTCTTTTCCCCCCCTAGCATTCATGAGAAATGTGAAATTTATACACTTAATCATTAAACATAACTGCAGCAAAAGGATAATGTGCTCTTAACTCTGAACAAGAAGAGATTGGTTTAATATGCAGTTGCATGCACCACTTTTTAATGAAAATGGACACCTCAAGTAATCAAAATATAATGGTGAATGTAAAGGACAAGACTGTAACTTTACATTGTTTCAGGCTGCAGAGATGGGGCTTTAATAGTGGCCTATTTAAGGTTAAAGTGTTTAATGTCATACCTTGAGACTTTCTGTAATCTGATGTAAGACATATTTAAGATGCCAAGTGTTACACCTATTCTGTCCTACTGGGTGTTTTTTGTTAAAATAGAAAAGACCAAAGGTGGTATTAATAGAGATAAGAAAAGCTGCACAAATCAAGACCTGTAAACTAAAGATCAAAATAAAATATTTGACTAGCCGTTTTCAGGTAAAACAGAACTCTTACAATTGGCATAGACATGTTTGTTTAGGTTAGTGCATGACATGATTATGGAGTCTTAAAATACAAGAAAATAAGTACAGTAACTTAATCACAGTGTGAAAGCAGTATCTACATTTTATTGTAGCTTAAAACACAGTAACAAAACTAGATTTAATACCCTGTCTTGTAAGAAAATGTAGGTTCATTTCCCAACCCAGAAGTCCTTCCTTTTGACAGAAAAAATGTTGGTGGTGTATTTGGTGAGAGATACTTAGTTGGGAGAGGTGTTTACACAAGCTTTTGGGCACAAAGTGTTGGAATGAAAGAGTGGGATGGAATTGAAAGTGTTAGCTAGTGTCACATTAGAAATGTGCCTTTTGAATAATATTTCCTCTTGTGCAATAGCACCAGTATAACTTTATGATATGAGAGAGAGTATAGATTATGGGCCAGATTCTGTTCCATTTAGATTGATACAAATCCAGAATACCATGGTTTGACCCAGGGGTCATGGGATGATGTTTTCTCCGTGCAAAGTACACAGGGCTACTATAACTGCAGTTTTAAATAGATATTCATTTGTTCACAGACTGTTTCATTAAACAGTATTATGCTCTAATCGTTTTAAAATAAACTTAAATCCAGTTCTGTCAAAATGTATTTTCTCGCTACTTCAGGAATTCTATGGGGTGAAAGAATAATTTTAAAAAATGACTTTTTTTAAATAAATGCATCATTGTTTCGCTTAGCCTGTTGCATTAGCAAAAGACCTGTTATAGAATTTTTCACTCCTTCTTTTCCACTTGAGTGAGGCCACCAAATCCAATTCCTTTGGGACCAAAATTCTTTGCATAGCAAACTGCAAAAAAAAGAAAACAAGTTTGGTAGTTAACATTTGTGTTATTTTTTGTGGTAAATGATAATATAAAGCCCTAATTTATAATGAAGTACAATAGCTAGGCAAGCTGTGAGAATTAAATGTGGATTTGTTTTCTCAGGCACATTCACAGATTCAACAGCATTTTTGTTTTTAAGGTAGATGAGCTTGCTAGTATAGCTTCAAATCAAGTCCTTATCAGAATAACTTTTAGGACTGTAAAATACCTAAAAACTCTAAGATACAACTATTAAAGTAGATTGCAAGCAAGAAGCATTAATGTAAATTAGAGAAAAAATGTATTATGGCTGGGATTTTCCAGGGAGCTCACAGGAATTACTAGGATTCAGTGCAGGTGTTGGTTTTGTCTAAATCAGTAATTCTCAACGGGCTGCCATGAGCTCCTTTTGAGGGTGCCCTGGTATGCAAGAAGATAAGCACTTACTCTTCCCCAACTCCTATGCAAGATGGTATGAGTAGGCTCATCTCTGGGTAGGGGTCATGCTTGTCGTTACCAGCCCTTTTGTGAAGTCTGAAGTGCTCATTTCTCCCCTCTCCCCAGTGTGAAGAGTTAAGTGCAGGCTCATTAGTGCCTGACTCCAGTGCAAGGAGGTAAACTCATGATGGTCCCTGCCCTTCTGGGCTGTGGGAAGCTAAGAGTTTCTTCCTCATCCTCCTCACCCTACACAGTGAGATAAGCGCTGCAATAAACAAATTATTGAATTGGGGTGCTGCTCAATTCACAGCAGTTACAGAGATTGCCAGGAGCCTAAAAAAGTTGAGAACCACTGGTCTGAATATTATTTTGCATGGTCAGTGTGCCCACGAGTGGTGAGCAAGTCCTACAGTTGAAAAGACTTTCTGTTTATAGAAAAATAGTTATGACTGTTCTAATATAATAAAGGGCTTAGTCTGTCTGTCATGCTTTTGGCCAACTGTCCCTGTGCTGCTGAGGGCAGGTGGCGATTGGCTGTACCTGCCCAAGTTTGAGCTCCTGCCGGGGAAGTTTATGGCAGTGGCAAACACACCCTGGCAGCCTGAGCAGCGGCAAACACACCCTGGCAGCCTGAGCAGCGGGTCTTTCCCATGCCTCCCTGCCTGAGGGTGTGTGTGGGGGGGGGG